AAAATTTACTAGTATTGTATAAATTCATTTTTTTAATCTAAAATTTTCTAGCATTGTATACATTTTTTTAAATCTAAATTTTTTTAGCATTGTATAAATTCATTTTTTTAAATCTAAAATTTGCTAGCATTGTATAAACTCATTTATTTTTTTCAGATCCTCATGTATTTGTAAAATTTAAACAATGTTTATAAATCCCAGGCCCTGAAGATTATCTCAATACAGATCGAAACGTTGGCACGATAAAGAAAATGTTTTTCTATACCCTACGTCACACCAGACCGCATCTCACGACCTCCAAATAATCATCAAGCAACGGTCACTGAACACCACACATAATTTTTTATAATAATATCTTTAAATTCTAAAACCTTGTCATAAAATTATAAAAAAATAATACCGAAACTAACAAGTTTAATTTTAACATGTACATGAACATGAAAAACGTTGATTTTAGATCGGAGAAATGATGGACATATAACTTTATCGTTTCCGGTCATTCTGATATTTCTATTCAAGTTGGTTTGTTCTGTCTAAAATTTCATCATTTCGCCACTTACATCTGTGGGTCTTTATGTTATTTATGCATTGTCAACACTTAAGATCAAAGTAAAAGTTTATAAGTTATCATTTCGACTTTGTTCAGTTTTTCGAACACATCCTCACCAGGATCTCAGGCTGTATAAGCCTTTACACCAACAGAGAACATGCTTCACTGTTCCTTGTATCTTCTTGGAAATGTCTTCACAAGCTTGTTTCTGCTGTTCCATGTCCTACTGATTATCCTAGTCCAAACACGTCCTTTAATGAACACCTACTGTCTTTGGATACATTCCTATTTCACTAAAGACTTTTTATTAACCCCTGATGATCTGCGTTTTTTTTGCAATTTGTTATGCCATAAAAGGATTCAAAGCCGATAGATGTCATGATGGAATTTTACTTGACAAATTTTATGATCTTATCGTTACCCCTGTGCTCTGTATGCCTTGGTACGCGAAGAGGGGTGGTCGCGACCATTTTGCACGTCGAACTAGCAATGGGCTACCCCACTTCCGCCATATACCAAATCATCTTATAAAATGTAGAAGAAAACTATTTATCCCGAGATGACAAAACATAAGATTACACTAATATTTAGATATTTTTCCCAAACTTGCTGTCAATATACCAACAGACAATTATGCTAAGGGCGTTTCATCATTTAGCTGTTTTAATGACTGGTCAATATGTATTTTATCATTCCTGACCATTTTATATGTTCATAAAAAATGAAAAGTAAGGCCCAAATGCAAGTATGATTTAATACAATGCAACTCAACTGGAACCATAGCTGTAAAAATATTATTAAAAAAACATAAAAGAAAACATCCCCGAGAAGTGGACAAAACACAACTATAAAAAGATAGTTATATAAACTAATGACACCCGTCATGATAGGCGACAACCAACATTGATATTATATGTGTGGCGATTAGTGACCGTTAATCGATATTTATTTAGAAATCGTGAGATGCGGTCTGGTGTGATATAGGTTTCAGAAAAACATTTTCTTTATCGTGCCAACGCTTCGATCTTTATTGAGATCATCTTCAGGGCCTGGGATTTACAATCCCGCTTGTGAAACTAACGTTTTCATTTCAACCAATACCTTACATACATTTATTTACAGATCGTGACATGCGGTCTGGTGTGATGTGGGTTTCGGAGGGGCATTTTCTTTGTCGTGCCAACGTTTCGATCTTTGTTGGGATCATCTTCAGGGCCTGGGATTTACGAACGTTGTTTACATGTGGCAGTTACATTTTGAATGTGGAAAGGTGAATTTATACAACGCAAAATGTATTTTTTGTGTGTTCGTTCAAGGTCTTTCTGCTCACTCGGGGTGTTTGTCTTCTGTGTAAGGCGCGCCTTATACAAAATTGTCTTTTCTATACCGACATCCTTCCCCACCCCTTCAAAATCCAACTTATGTAAACACAAAATCTCACTGGCACTCTCGACACGCCACGCAAGAATGGCACAATTACACAGAAGACAAACACTTTGAGTGAGTAGATAATACTTTGATTGAATATATAAAAAATATATTTTGCATTGTATAAATTCACTTTTCCACACCCAAAATGTAATTGTTATATGTAAACAATGTTTGTAAATCCCAGGCCCTGAAGGTGATGTCAATAAAGATCGAAACGTTGGCACGATAAAGAAAATGTTTTTCTGAAACCTACATCACACCAGACCGCATCTTACGATTTCTAAATAAATATTGATATTATACCAGCAGACCTGACAACCATTCTAGGCTAATGAACACTGATGAAACTGAACACAACATCATAACTACTTGCCTGACCTAACAATTACCAAAAGTAGCAATGAACTAGGGTGTACAGAAAATTGTGAAACATCATATTTAGGTCATAGGTCATCCCATCATTCGATCATTCTAATCTGCCTCGATGATTTCTTCACGGAAGCACGTTTATGCCTTTCGCCATCTTTAATGCGTATTATTTTATTATATTTCCCTTTTTATCGTTTGTGGTGCTCGGCATTATCTTTGTTCCGTCGGTGTTTTTTTATGCCATATTTAAAACATTTGTATCTTGTATTATTTGAGTTTGCAGCATGTTTTTTATGGATTATTTAAATTATTGATTTCATAATCCTGTTACATTGAAAATTATTGTTATATTCCGTACTTGTTGAGAAAAAACGGCATGAGATTTCATTTTTCCACCCTGCATTCTCGTACGTGCGTACATATGTGTCAAATATAATGGGAAATATTGACAGCTCGATTTTCCGGAAAGGCGCTTTAAGCTCAATTTTTACACGAAATCGGTTTTCGGGAGGTTTTCATTATTACTTCATTTTCCTCTCGGGCCGTCGGGATTCAATTAAAAGGAGTGTTTCCAGGATGAGAACGAGATGAAGGACCTTCGCCGGGTGGTGGCGCCCCCTTCAGCCCGCGCCTCGAACCGTCCCGTTTCGTAACTTCCCTTTCTAGGCAACATAAATTCTCAGAAAGGCAATAAATTAAAACATAATCATAATAAATCCAGCTCGGACGATATTTTCCAATTAAGTTGGAATCGTTTATTGTTTCATGTCCTCAAAATTGATTTAACTAATCGTAAAAATTTAATATTAGAATTTTGAACGTTCGTCGCGTATAATTATAAACAATGGATGATGAAGACGTTTGTTTAAAAAAAACTACATTATATTCTATTGGATACGCAATTTGATAAAAAGTTCCACTATTGTCATCTTTTTTTCATTTATCGTCTATTAAACTTTAATTACACGTGGCCATTTAACTGGGGAAAGTGATAGAAAGAGTTTTATTTTTTTTGTCTAAAATGGATTTAAATCAAATGGTTTACCATTTATAATAGATAAAAACTCCTGTATCTCATTTGTAATAATATTTCTATAAGTAACCCGTAAAAGGTTTATTATAGATTGATAGGAAATTTGTATAACTTTGATTTCATTTTTTGCAGTTGACCTTTCGGTTGAAATTACAAATTTGACAAAAATGAAGGCCAAGTTTAAAAAACAAAAAGTTAATTTTTTTCTAAGAAAATAAAAAATGTAAACTGAACTTAATAGTATCTACTATCAAATTTTGTTAAGAGTTTACAATTTTTGTTAAAAAAAAATAGTTAAAAAATAAGAAGAAGTCGAAGTAAGTGGAAAGTTTAACTTAAGTTGATCGTAACTATCGTATCTATAATTTTGGCATACGTTTCTAATTTTCGTAAAAAACTAAGGAAAATATTATTTATTAAGTTGTTTACATATTTTTCCTTTCTGGAAATTGACGATTTATGTTTAATAAGAAAAAAATTAATTTGCGTTAGTTAGCTGTATATTCGAGCAAATAAAAGGTTAAACAAAACAGAATCATTTTTCCCGGTGGATTCTGGAACCCCAACTTCACACATTCTACAGTACAGAAATTTTTTTAAGGGTACGAATTAAAATAAGAATTAAAACAGGTCGTATAAGTTACATATGCTTTCGAAAGGGTTTTAACTCATATAGAAAAGGTTAAATTTGACTTGGAACGTGCTACATTTCATTTATACAATGAAATGTTGCACTTTACTCGTGAAAGGTTGAAATAGACTTGGAAATGCGATGCGATTAAGTTAGTTAAATATAAAAATAAACGCAGATGTTACACCATTTTAATTATTGATTTTTGCTTATTATAATTGTTTCGATTCTATGAAAAAAAAGCGTAAATGTATTTTTTACGATAGTGATTACTCAACAAGTCATTTGCACGAAATAATGGGACAATTTAAAAGGAAAATAGAAATATATATTCATTTTAATCAAATAACGAGTTTAGGGAAATGAAGATAAACTCTTCATTTATTTCCGCAACCATTTTATCCGCTTATTTGAAATATGGTAAAAATTATTATAGTATCCTATTTGCCGTTCTATTTGAGTTTGTTAAATGTTTCGATTTTTATGAGGATGAACTTCTTTTTAAAGAGGTTCGGGGCGATTTGTTAGTAGAAGAAAAATGACGTGTTAAGGGCATAGACGTTCATCGGTTCAATGGCATGACCAAGGCTGACTTTTCATTACAGGATATGTTAAAAAATGTTTATTCCTTTTCGAGGAATGTTTGATAAAGAGGCTTTGTTCCGTACTTTGCTTTTTTTTTTTAAATAATGGAATGAAGGAGGTAAAACCTGTTTTTTGGGACGAAATATTTGGAATGTAGTTTAGTTTTATTTGTTTATTTGAAATGATCGTTTCGAGTGTCGTACTGAATATTGGCGGGTTTGTGTGATTCAAGTCGGTATCGGTAGTTGACTGAGAGGTGGTGTAAACTGGCGTTTGAGCTTTGGGGGAGGGGGACTTTGGTGGTGTCTGGGTGGTGGCATGCGCGTGTCTTGTGCTGCTCTCATCGGCAACTAGAATCTCCCCCACTCGGTCCTTTCTAAAAGTCTTCCAACGGGTACTTGCAAGTTCAGTCTGATTCCGGTGTCCGTGGTAGCAAGACGCACGTGACAGTGTTTCGACCTGAGATCGACTTAGAAAAAAAAAGTTCAAAATTCGGAAAAGTCGGTCGTAGGAGAGCCCGCTTTCTTCAGATTGATGTGAGTTAAAGTGTATCGAGTTTCGGTTTTTTTCCTCTTCCGCGGGCGATGACCGAGTGAGACGGGTTCGGTGCGAAGTCTTTTTCGTACGACGAAGTGTTCAAGTGACGAAGGATGCAAATGTGATTGTGATTGTGAAAATCAGGAATGGCGATGTTGGCACTGCTCTCGGCAGCGGTTTTTGCCACGCTACTGACAGCCGCCCTCACGAAATACGAGACCCCGGAGCAGTGCACATGGGCGCCCGAGACGAACGACACTTCCAGCAGATTCACCGTCACTTGCACTCTGCGAACCCTCGCCTCCGAAGGCGGCAATTTCAGCCATTTGCAAGTGGAAGGGACCGTAAGGCTGAAAGTCGAGTGTAGTGATTTGTTGCTGTTCGAGAGTCCGCTTCCCCCGAGATCCTTCCGGAGGCTGCATCACCTAGAGGAGCTGAACATAACAAACTGTAAGATTTTGGAAATTCCTACCGACGCGTTTGACGGGCTCCGCGATTTGAAACTCCTCTCCGTCAGGACCCGCAACACTGATTGGGGCGCGGGGAAGACGTTGGAAATGACGACCGGGAGTTTCGACGGGCTTCGTCAGTTGCAGACGTTGGAGATCGTCGACAGCAATGTCCGTTCTGTGCCCGAAAACGTCTTCTGCACGCTCGGAAATTTACAGACTATCAATTTTACAAGGAACAGTATTCGCGATGTGGATTCGATCGGTTTCATGCCGCGCAAAGTGGCCAACACAGTTACAGTTTCGAGGATCGAGTGCAGCGGCGGGACCGATTTGAGGACGATTGATGTCTCTTACAACGACATTCGAGTGCTTCCGCCCGATTCGGGTCTGACCGGACTGCGACGCTTGCAGAACCTCTTTCTCCAAAATAACGACATTTCCGAAGTGACGTCGGAATCTTTCAACGGCCTTACTTCCCTCCGAGTCCTAAATCTCTCGAGCAACAAATTAGAATCTCTGCCGGAAAATCTTTTCGCTTCGACCAGAGACCTCCGCGAGATCCACCTCCAAAACAATTCGTTGTACGAATTGGCGAGGGGGTTGTTTCACCGGCTGGAACAGCTTTTGGTTTTGGACCTTTCCGTCAATCAACTAAGCAGCAATCAAATCGACGACGGTACGTTCGTCGGCTTGATCCGGCTCATCATATTGAACCTCTCCCACAACACTCTGACCAGGATCGACGCGAGGACTTTTAAGGACTTGTTTTTCCTCCAAATATTGGACTTGAGGAATAACTCAATTGGGTTTATAGAAGACAACGCCTTTCTCCCCCTTTACAATTTGCATACGTTAAACATAGCGGAGAACCGGCTCCATCACATCACGGCTCACCTCTTCAACGGCCTCTTTGTTCTTTCAAAGCTTACGCTCAACAACAATCTCATTGTAAACATCGACTCTCAAGCCTTCAAAAATTGTTCGGATCTCAAAGAATTGGATCTCAGTTCAAACGCCATCCAAGAAGTCCCGGAGGCTTTGAGCGAGCTTTCTTTCTTGAAAACCCTCGACCTCGGCGAAAACCAGATCAGCAGCTTCAGAAACGGTTCGTTTAAAAATCTGAACCAACTCACGGGTCTCAGGTTGATCGATAACGAGATCGGAAACTTGACGAGAGGAATGTTTTGGGACTTGACGGGCTTGCAAGTTTTAAATTTGGCCAAGAACAAAATACAACAGATCGAGCGGGGCACTTTCGAGAGAAACACGGAGATCGAAGCGATACGGTTGGACGCCAACTTTTTAACCGACATAAACGGCGTTTTCACTACTTTGGCCAGTCTCCTGTGGTTGAATCTTTCAGGGAATCACTTGGTCTGGTTTGATTACGCTTTCGTTCCGAGCAATTTGAAATGGTTGGATATACACGGAAATTACATCGAGCGACTGGCAAATTACTACAAAATTCAGGACGAACTACACGTCAAGACCCTGGATGCGAGCCACAACAGAATCACGGAGTTAAACGACATGTCGATCCCCAACAGCGTGGAGGTGATTTTTATCAACAACAATTTCATATCTTCCATTCAACCGAACACGTTTTTCGAGAAGACTCACCTGGCCCGAGCCGACATCTACGCCAACGAATTGACGAAGCTCGAGTTGAACGCTTTGAGACTCCTGCCCGTACCGGGGAATAAATCGCTTCCAGAATTCTACTTAGGCGGAAACCCGTTTAACTGTGATTGTTCCATGGACTGGTTGCCTCTGATAAACAACATGACTCAGATGAGACAGTATCCCCGGGTTATGGACTTGGAAAATGTGATGTGCCGGATGACTTATTCTCGTGGGACAGTCGACATCCCTACGACAGAAGCCAAACCGTCAGAGTTCGTCTGTAAATACGAAACCCATTGTTTCGCCCTCTGTCATTGTTGTGACTTTGATGCTTGCGATTGCGAGATGACCTGCCCTACAAATTGTTCTTGCTATCACGATCAAACATGGAATACGAACGTGGTCGATTGTTCGAGACAGAACAACGATTTGATACCGAGGAGGATCCCGATGGACGCCACTCACGTCTATTTGGACGGAAACAACCTCAAGGAATTACAAAACCACGTTTTCATCGGGAGAAAAAATATGAGAGTACTCTTTGTGAACGCGAGTAAAATCGAGACCATTCAAAATAGAACATTCAACGGATTAAACACACTACAAACGCTTCATTTGGAAGATAATTTAATTTCTGAGTTGAAAGGCTACGAATTCGAACATCTTTCCCATCTGCGTGAGTTGTACCTCCAAAACAATCTTATCGCTCACATCGGAAATATGACACTTGCGCCACTTCGTTCTCTCGAAATATTGAGAATGGACGGAAACCGATTGACGACTTTCGCCGTCTGGCAGCTCTCGGCGAATGCGTATTTGGTGGACATCTCCCTCGGCAGCAATCAGTGGTCCTGTAAGTGCAAATTCCTCCAACAGTTCCAAACCTGGGTTTCCGACAACAGGCATAAAGTGATCGATACCGACGATCTTTGGTGTCACGGAAACGAGACCAAACCGCCCCATAGAAGATGGATTGATCTCAACGATACGGTATGCAGTGATTATTATTCCGGAAGTTCAATGATTCAAAGTATTATCGTTTCGGACTATTTGCCGATGGTGATCGTGACTCTGGCCGCTTTTCTCATAGTTATTTTCTTAACAGTTATAATGTTCATATTTCGAGATCCTTTGCGCGTGTGGCTGTATTCTCGATACGGGGTGCGGTTGTTCCACTTCAAAACGGCCTCTTCGAAGCATTACGGCGAAGACAGGGAGAAACTCTACGACGGCTACGTGGTTTACAGCCCCAAGGACGAAGAGTTCGTACTCCAATCGATAGTGGCTGAGCTAGAACACGGAAACCCTTCTTTTCAACTCTGCCTTCATTACCGAGACCTTCCGCATCACGCAGTCTCTTCGAATTCTCCCTACATGCAACACACGTCGCCGGTCGTCGTGGAAGCTGCCGAAGCGAGCAAGCGAGTCATACTCGTTTTGTCGAGAAATTTTTTGCAGACGGAATGGTCCAGGTTCGAGTTCAGGTCCGCATTGCACGAAGCTCTGAAGGGACGGATTTTTAAATTAGTTCTAGTTGAAGAGAGTATTTTACCTGAGGCCGAACTGGACCCCGATCTGAGGCCCTACCTGAAAACGGGCGCTCGAATCCGATGGGGTGAAAAACGTTTTTGGGAGAGGCTCCGTTATGTCATGCCCAGTGGGGACAACCAAAGAAAATCGTGTAATTATAGGAGAAATATTAACAATTTCAACAAAGATCCTTCAGTGCATCGGAGCAGCGGTCCGAACCACGCCTACTTGCAGGACAAAAACAAACAGACCGTCTCGCCGTCGTTGCAACACCACATCAACAACCACCCGATGTTCAAACAGGCGGCTGTCGCCAACAACGAAGTCACCGCACCGCCGGCCTACTCGTCGAGCAGCACGCTGTCCAGGACGCCGACCAAACAGGGCCAAGACGACCCGAATTATTCCTCGGCGACGACGGCGACCCCTTCCCCGCGACCCGTGCACCGCCATCACACCTACAACAACAAGGATAGGCCCACTTCCGAGCACATTTACTCTTCCATCGACTCGCCGGAGTACCCGACGTTCGAAAGGGCCGATTCGAGGCGTACCAACGGAACTGCAGTGCCTCTTCACCATCCCCCGCAGCCTTGGAGGTCGGGACCCTCCGTCGTGGACACCAGCGGAGTCCAGGCCTACCTCGTCTGATACAGCGGCCCACGTCGGATTTAGCTAAAAGGTACTCGAAATATAAGTATCATTAAAGAAAACTATCCATCGTAAAAATACGGACGGATAAAAAAGGATAACTTCTAGTTTTTACTGAAACTCTATAGACTAATAGACTATTGTTATCAATGTTATATAAAAAGGCACTGAATTAATGTTGGCTGTGATATTTTAACTTAGTAATTATATAGACGAAACTCTGAATCTATGATAAAGTGCCGATTATGTTTTTAAACAAATGGTCTTGGGTACGAGGGATCCACGGTCCTTTTTCCCCTCTCTTTCTAACCCTATCTCCATCGCATCTTTCCCTTTCACACATATCTACATAAATAGAGGCGGTGTGCTTTAGGCGGGCGGGGAGCCGCACACCCACACCGAGTCTCTCGATAGGGCCGACTGTGTTTTATTGCCGAATTAATACTATAAAAACCTGTGCGTACTTTGGGAAGATACTCTCGCCACTCGACTACACGATTCCCCACTTAAGCCGTTTCACGGATTTAAAAAAAAAAATTAAACTGACGACGAGAGAGACTCGCAGGTGGAAATTTCAATTTTTATACCCCTGGCCTTATCGTAGGGCTCGTGTGTGAACGTGGTGAAAATAAATTACTATCTCATTGTACGCCCATCCTCCCAAGACAATACTTTTTACTGTATTAAAATACTCTCGACTGCTAGAAATTCTTTTCTTTTAAAAAAAAAAATTGTTTTGTTTTGTGAGTGCTATTTTTGAACTTTTTCTCTTTTATACAACCCCTTTTTCAATTGTCTATTTTTAATATATTTAAGTTCCTAATGTTCTAATAAACTTGTGAAGATTCTTATTTTAATAATTCAAATTTGTAAATGACAGTTTTGTAAAAGGCAATCAAACAAATCTCAATGCCATGATTTATTGATTTCTGTGATAGGTAGTAACGAAATTGAATTTTGCTTTGGAGAAAATTTCTAGAAAGGAAATCAGTGAATATAAAACAATTGATTTGTTATTGTAACTAGTCTTTAGGAGTCCTCCAGAGCGGAGTGTGCTTTATTAATAACTTATGTTTTACAATTTTTTGTTCGCTGTAAATTTTCCCCTTGAAATTCTGAAGAGGATCTTGAATATTTAGTCTGTATATAAGTTTTTTTGTTTTATAATTTATACATATGTAAAAAGTACTTATGGCGATACATGCCTAACAACTGTGTATGATTTTGTATGAAATAACGAATGTGTATATTTTTGTAAAGAAAGTATTTATAGTCTTGTTGTATCCACGGCGCCAAACTCGAAATGAAAAATAAAAACCATACTCGATGAAAAAATTATGTTTTATTTTATTTATACACTCAACAGTCTCCCAGTCATTAACCCGATGACCTTTGCGTCTTTGCCCACGGGCGGTGCCCAGGTTTAATGACAATCGCAGCGAGGAAATGTACGGAAAGTACGACATTTCCAGATGTACGTGGCACCGATTTCTTCAACTTGACTTTAAGGCGTAAAGACGGCTCGCCTTGGACATTTTACAAGAGGCACCCTTCAGAGGGAGCCACCGTTTGATTTCATTTACATTTTAATAAGAGAGCCCGTTCACCGACCATCCTCATTCAATTTACCTTCTCGACCGCATTATTTATTTATAAGCCCTCTTTTATCAATTATTCCTTTTGTACAGTTTCGGGGACAAAGGCGGGGTCCGGCTATTTGAAAAATGCACTCCACCCAATGGAAACACTTAAATCTTTTCCTCATTAAACCCTGGATCGCAAAAGAAGTATAGCCCGTCTCGAAAATCCCGTTAGCGCACATAATTTAAATTATTTTTTATTTTAATATTGTACAGGGGATATTATAACAATATGACTGTTAAAATATACCTTGTGGAAAATCAAGATTTCTAACACGCAAAATAACCCACGACGCTCTATTAGTAAAAAAATCTTTACGAATCAAAACATTTGTTTATACACAATATAAGTTTACTTTTATTTTCTAAAAAAATGATCTTTCAATTTTTAAAACAGTATCTTTCTTCTTAAACACTTAAAGCCTTAACAGTACTTACAGAAATTATTACTTACAGAAAAATAAATACCCTCGAGAAAAAAAAGACTCGTATTTTGTTGTTTACTGCAAACTATATTCATTTATTTTATCATTATATTAATTATAACAAAAACCTACTTAAACGACATAAATTAATGAATTTTAATAAAAACTATTTAATTATGATGGTTTGAAAGGAAATACAACAAAACACAGAAAATCATTTAGTGATACAATAATTTATATAAAAATAGTTTATTAGTTATAAAGATTTTAATCTATCACTAAATGATTTTTTGCTGATTTGGTAAAATTTTCTTTCAAACTAACAGAATTATATAATTTTTATTACAATTCGTGAATGTCTGATCTTTTTAAATTTAGTTTACCTTAATATAAGTATGTTGTAATTTCATCTACCGATAAAAATACATATAGTTCAAATATAATTTAAAATAAACAATAAAATACGAGTGTCTGGTTAGTTTTGTCTTTGAGTGTATATAATATATAATTTTGTAAAATATGTTACGCGAAATTACGTATTATTATTATAATTAAATAATAATAATTATTTTATTATAAGATGTAATTACGCCATATTTAATGTGTGGTGATTAGTGACCGTTAGTCGAAAATCGTGAGATGCGGTCTGGTGTGATGTAGGGTTTCAGGAAACATTTTCTTTATCGTGCCAACGTTTCGATCTTTATTGAGATCATCTTCAGGGCTTAAAGTGTTTGTTTTCTGTGTAACTTTGAGCCCTGAAGATGATCTCAATAAAATCAAAACGTTGGCACGATAAAGAAAATGTTTTTCTACCGGACCACATCTCACGATTTTCGAATAATCAGCTATATTTAATTAATTTCTGATCACAACCGTAAACCACGAGACTAATATATATATATTAGGTTATATAATTTAAAAAAAAAACTTCTAGAAGGCTACATAACATAAAATATAGTAATATTACGATTAATAGATCACCATGGTTTTACACCGTTAAGGGGTTTATTATGTATATGCAGAGAATAATAAAAATAGTCTTTAAGGCATGATCTTTAGGAAACAGTCTGAATAAAATAATGAATGAAAACATAATTTTTCATAATTATTGCAAAATATTATTCAGTTACGCTTTCTCAATACCTTCGGGCTTTCGGTTTTTTTAAAAACAGCAAAAACGATATTTTTGAAGTATCCCTTAATTAGTTTAATATATTATTAAACGTCGGTTTAATCAGTTGAAATTTAATGCTGTATTACATTTCAAAAGAAAACGTTATATTTAAAATTATACTTAAAATTTCCCCTTTAATTCTGTACAAACAAAGAGTGTAATGAAAAGTCATTAAGGGAAAATGTTTGGCTAGAAGATTATGTCATCGACCTATATCTTTTTTCAAAAATTACCTGCTCACGTTTAGTTTTTCTGGGTGCGAGAAAAAAGGAAAATACTGTTTTATAATTAAACTGCTGTTGAGAAGTTGTTGGACATTTATCTTCTTTTTTATTAAACAAAGAAAATTAATTAATTTCTCTGTACCGCTTTTATTTTTGATTAATATCTTTATATTACTTTAAATAAAAGAACTTTTTTTTTAGTTTAGTTAGTTTGGTTTTACTTTTGGCATATTTTTATTAATTTTAATATATTCTTCCAACTTTGTTGCCTTATCTTATTGTGAAAATTTATAGATACAACTGAAAAGAAAGATGTTTATCTGATTTAGAACTTTAAGTTGTTATTACTATAGCATAAATTATTGCATTTTGAGCTCTTTAATTTTTGTTTTCTTTTGACATATTATATTTATTTTAATATGTTTTGCAAACCTTTTTCCCTTATCTTATGCACACATTTTAGATACTCTGACAGTAAAGATGTTTCTGTAATTTAAAATTCTGCAATAGAAAAAAGACAATGGTTCAGTCGTCGTCACCAAGTCCGCTTCACCAATTTATTTTGAGCTTTCCTCAATTCGTACGATATTTTCGCGTTTTAACGCCGACAGTCCAAAAGAATATCGTCCACATCAAATATACCATATTTTTATTTTCTGCTGATTCGCTCGACGGTCCAAACGGTTCTTTATGACGGTCATTTACGATCCTACCAATAGGAATTTTATGCCGTAGAGAGATTGAGAATGTAGTCCGAAGATAAATCTCCTCTTTTTACTACCGTGAACAGATCATATCGCTTGAATACACGAAATTCGTAGTTTTTCTAGGCTTAAAACTAAGAAAAATATATTTAAGCGACTTTGGAGAAATTACAGGCTATGTTGATAAAATCTACATTATAACATAATAAATTAATTAAGAAATGTCTTCTTATGGTCTGTGTAAAGAGTGACCTGTTTGTTCATTTTCAGTCATTTTGGTCTGAGCTAAAATTTCCCTTTTCTTACTCCCAGGAGGGTATTTTTCTGTTAAATTTTGTAAGAATTTATTTGCAATTAAGGCTGCAGTCTCGGTTTCTTTTCAAACACTTTTGAGAAAGCCGGATTCCTTAAAAAAAGTAATAATACAAGCCGAAAACAGCTGGACTCTATCATTCAATTAACATACAAAAGCATGTAACCCACCCCAAAATTTTATTATAAAAATACCAGGTATCTGAGTTGATTCTTCATTTCGATATCCTTGGGTGGTTTTTGTCTTTTCTATCCCTAACCAAGCAGTAAAAATATGCCAATACAGCGAGGATAGATAGACAAAAGCAGCAGTCTTATCACTCCGCCAAACTCCAGAAAATATGTCACAAGATTGTAGATGTGACACAACTTTATGAAAAATATCTTAATATAACAAGTAGTGAAAGGGGTAAAAAAGGCGGACACAAGGCCTTATGCACCTCGACCTATGAGTAGATTTATTGTTCTCTATTTTTATAACTCACAGCTTCAGGATGTTAATCAACCGTCTTGGCCTTCCTGGCGGGTACTTAGTGTAGTCTTGCTTGCGGCTTTTCCTCCCCTAATTGTAGGAATTCGCACCTACATAGATCCTCGTAGAAACATAAAACGCGTTCTGCGGTTTCCTTTTCTTCTTGCACTGTGTTTCCTCTGTCAGTGTTCCGGTGCATGTGCCTTCTTAAGCTGCTGTGCCCTGTCATGAGTCCAATCAGAATCCTGTTTATGTTGCGGTTGCCCTTCAGTAATTCCTTTGGAAGTCTTGAGGATGGCCCTTTTATGAATCACTTTTCTAATTTAACAGGCTATTAAGCGATTTCTGGGCGTAGTCCTTGCAATTTTATTTGAGAATATGAAAAAAATGATGGCAAGATTATTCCGCAGTTGGACGTTAAGTCTTGTGTATGTCAGTAATTACTTTAATTGTTATTTTCTTGCAAAAATCATATAGCGAAACTATATACGAAACCAGTGAGGATAGGCAGGCGAAAATGACATGAGGAACTATAAATAAATCAATGCTATAGAAAACAATAATGGAATAT